TGGCTCACTCGGAAGAGTGTGGTGCTCATAACACCAAGGCCACGGGTTCGGATCCTATATAGGGATGGCCGCTTTGCTCACTAGCTGAGCGTGGTGCTGACAACACCAAGCCAAGGGTTGAGATCCCCTTACCAGTCATCTTTAAAAAAAAAGAAAAGAAAAGAAATCCACTGGAAGGCCAGCCCGTGGCTCACTCGGTAGAGTGTGGTGCTCATAACACCAAGGCCACGGGTTCGGATCCTATATAGGGATGGCCGCTTTGCTCACTAGCTGAGCGTGGTGCTGACAACACCAAGCCAAGGGTTGAGATCCCCTTACCAGTCATCTTTAAAAAAAAAGAAAAGAAAAGAAATCCACTGGAGCCAGCTCAAGTAGGAGTTTACTGTAAGGATACAGTGGAACCTCCTGGGTGCCTGAGGACACATATGGCTGGGCTTCCCTGGTCTGAGTGCCAAGAGCTAGGACCCAAGGCTGTTTCATCTGTCAGCTGGTCACACAGTCCCTGGTTTCTGAAATAACAATTCTAGTTCATTATAGCAGTTACCAATGTGAATTATTCTCATTTTGCCCCAGAGGAAACTGAAGTACGGAAAGGTTTCTAGTACCAGGCTAGTAGGCAAGACCGAAATGTACCCATTGGGTCAAGTGCTGAGAAGGAAACCTACAGGGTGACCTGAGGTCTGATCTAGCCCAGGGAGTTTAGCAAGGCTACCCTGAAGGGGCAATATGGAAATAGAGATTTGGGTTGAGTAGACAAAGTAGAGGCAGTGAGGGAGGGGCATCAGGTGGCGGGGATGGCAAGTGCAAAGACCCTGAAGCAGAGAGGAGCAGGAACAGTTGAGGCACAGCAAGGAGACCAGGAAGGCTGGAGTCAGAGACTGAAGAGAGGAGGGTAAGAACAGGGCTGGAGGACTGAGCAGGGCCAGGCAGAGCCTGCTGAGGACTGAGCAGGGCCAGGCAGAGCCTGCTGGGTCAGGAGATGTGAAGATATACTGTCCAGACGGGAACACTGTCCAGACGGACACTGTTAATAGTTACACTGGGACAAAGATGAAAAATGGAGACTGTCACAGACAAATTCAGACATCTGGTCACCCTACTGAAAGGCCAAGGTAAAGAATTTTTTTTTTTTTTTGTCTTTTGTCTTTTTCCGTGTCCGGCAACGGATCACAACCCTCAGTGTCGCCCCCGTACCGGACCGGGGACCGGCAACGGGATTGCAACCCTCGGTGTTGCCCCCGCGCCTCGCTCAGCCAGTGAGCCGCCGGTCTGTATGTGGGATCCGAACCCTCGGGCGGGAGCGCCGCCGCGCTTCCCAAGCGGCGCACTTATCCAGTGCGCCACCGGGCCGGCCCCCAAGGTAAAGAATTTGATCTTTATCCTATAGCCAGTGGAAAACCTTTGGTTTTGAGCCAAGTGATCTGCTCAGCATTTTCCCTTTTTTATTAAGATATTATACACATACAGTAATGGGCACAAATATTTTGAATACAGTTTGATGAATTTTTATATATGTATAGACCCATGGAACAAGATGGGTCTGATGAAGATAAAGAACATTTCTAGCCCCCAGAGGACTCCCATGCCCCTTCCAATTTAAACTCCATTAAGGTAACCTATTACTCTGATCTCTAACACCAGACTGTTTTAGCTTGCTACTTAAAAATTAATGTGACATATATATTACAAAATGAAGGCACATATGAGGGTACTTCGAAAAGATCATGGAAAATAGAATTAAAAGATAATAGGACTGGCCGGTTAGCTCAGTTGGTTAGAAGGTGGTGCTGATAATACCAAGGTCCTTGCACAAGCCAGCTGCCAAATAAATAAATAAATAATACAAATCTTTTCATGAACTTTTTGAAGACCCTTCGCATATACAGTGACAGACACTAACCTTAGATGCACAGTTTGGAGAATGTTTACTTATACGTACGCCTGTGTAACCACCACTCAAATCAAGTTACAGAACATTTCCAGCAGCCCAGAAGGTTCCCTCGGATCCTTTTCCAGTCAATACCTCCTCCACAGAGGTAGCCACTCTTTTGACCTCTAGCTCCAAAGATTAGTTTGCCACAGGCTCCGTTAGCTTCCGGCTTTCATTTCTCTATCTGCCCCCTCGATGCCCCTGCTCTTACTGAAGCACCCCCTTTCCCAGGTTAGGGTTCCTACGGCCCTGCACCCTCGCTCCCCAGTAGCTCTCACCCACCCCCATGGCCTCGGTGACCTCCCCACAAGCTCCAGGACCCCCTCCTCTACTGACTCTAAGGGTTTGTTTGGGGTTGGGGGTATTGTCCCTCAACCTCCTTGACCCGGCCACCCAATAAATCAACAATATTGGTGACAGCAGTGACTCCCTAGCAAACCCAGCGTGGAGACAAGTATCTGGCCCGCTTCCTACCAAATCGTCTCCCTATGATATCCGTCTGAGGGGAGGGGCAGCCGGACAGTGAGATCTGAAACGGCCACTGCAGACGGCATCGCCAATTCACAGGGCTCTGGTAGCCCGCTGGGTCGCCGCCTCTCCCGCAGCATCGCCATGACCGGGGTCAGCGTGTGACCCCGACAGGTCCCCCGCCCCGTCTGGGACTCAGTCTCCCGCCCGTGAAGTCAGAGCTAGAGTCCGAGTCTGCTAAGGCCGCTTCGAGCCCGGACAAGACTTTTCTGCTTGTCGTTGCTCTAGTAGATGGCCTCTGCAGTAGCTCCACCCCTGCAGTAGGTCTCTACCAGGGTCCCCAGGCTTTTCCATACATCCTCTGAAATCTGGGTGGAGGCTGCCATGCCTCCACTGCTCTCATGTCCTGCTGGCCTGCAGACTTAACACCACGTGGACACAACCAAGGTTTCTGGCTTGTGCTCTCCAGGGCTGCTGCATGAACCACACTTGGGGTTGCTTGAGGCAGGGCTGCTCCAGCCAGAGCAGCTGGGATGTGGGGTGCAGGTTCCTAAGGGCAGCAGAAAACTCAGAGCAGAAAAACTCAGCTCTCCTAGGCCTCTTGGCCATGATGGGAGGGGCACCCTTCCAGATGTCTGAAATGTCTTTAGGCCTTTCTCTCATTGCCTTGGCTATTAGCATCTGGCTGCCTCATCTCCAAGCTAATGTGTGTAGCAACCAGTCTATCTGCTTCACCCTTGCATTTCTACAGCTCTCTGCTTCTCTACCACATGGCCAGGCTGTGAATTTTTCCAAATCTTTATTCTCTGCTTCTCTTTTAAATTCTGGCTTTATATCATGTCTTTTCTGCCACAACTCAGCATAGGCTGTTACAAGTAGCCATGCAGCTACTTAATGCTTTGCTGCTTGGAAATTTCTTCTGCCAAACATTCTGGTTTACTACTCTTAAGTCCAACCTTCCACAAAGTCCTAGGGCATGGACACAATGCAGCCAAGTTCCTTGCTATGGTGTAGCAAGGGTGATCTTTTGTCCAATTCCTGATGAGTTCCTCATTTCTATCTGAGACATCATCATCCACATGGCCCTTACTGTCCATGTTTCTATCAGCATTCTGGTCACAATCATTTAACCAATCTCTAAAATGTTTCAAACTTTCTCTCATCTTTTTGTCTTCTTCTAAGTCCTCCAAACTCCTCCAACCTTTGCCCATTACTCAGTTCCAAATTTGCTTCCACATTTTCAGGTATCTATTTCGAGAGGCCGGCGCGTCGGGAGCGGGCCGCGCGGCACCATGTCGGCCAAGGTGCGGCTCAAGAAGCTGGAGCAGCTGCTCCTGGACGGGCCCTGGCGCAACGAGAGCGCCCTGAGCGTGGAGACGCTGCTCGACGTGCTCGTCTGCCTGTACACCGAGTGCAGCCACTCGGCCCTGCGCCGCGACAAGTATGTGGCCGAGTTCCTCGAGTGGGGTGAGTGCGCGCCGGACCCCGGCCTGAGCCCCGGGCGGCCCCACCCCTCCCCGCTGGGCCTGGCCGTCCACAGGCCCCTGCCCCTCGGCTTCCTCATCTCGTCCCGGCCCTCTCCGGCCGCTCGCCCTTCATCCCTCCCGGCCCGGCCCTCAACATCCGCGTTCGGTCGGCCCGCCCCCTCATCCTGCCCCTTAGAGCCACATCCTCCACTCCCACTCCCACCCCCTCCCCCCGCTGGGCCATCGCCCTGGCCGCTTCCTAGATCCACCCTTGGAGTCTGGATATCATTTCCTGCAGCACGCCCTGGGATATCCGCCCCCACCCCGCCCCCCGCCTTTGGGGTCCGGAGTCAGCGCTGGGTTCCCTCTGCTGGGGTTTAGGGCAGCCGCGTGGGCTTTTTGCATCTGCCGCGCCCACCGTCCCGTGGATCCACCATGTGCGTCTCCTGGGAGCCCAGCTCTGACGGCCCTCCCAGGTGACAGCCTGTCTACATCCCGTTGGTGTTCTGGCCTGAACACGCCCTTTACTGTAGTACCTCCAAGGGAATTTTAAGGTTAAAAGCTTTATTTTAAATACTCCATGAAAGAACAAATTGATTTGTTTTCATTGTAATTGTGCCAGACCCTTGTGATATTTGGGGGACCGCTGGAACTGTCACTTAAAAACTGTCTTCATCTGATCTTTCCATGCCTTCTCTAGTCCATTCAGGAATCTCTAATGCTGTAATCATTAATCGACTGACCTATCATGCTTTATTAGGACAAAAATTTGATTAAGCCATTTAATGGTAAGCCTGAAGACAGGTAAAAGTTTAAAGTGGAACCCTTTTATTTCATCTCTCCCTGACATGGGCATCCTGTCAAGACCCTCAGACTCTCACCTGAAAGGACCGAGCAGGAGGATGCAATGCATACATTCTTGCCAAACCTATGAGAATCTTATCCTTAGGTTATTTGCATCATTGGGCTAGCATTGTGCAGTTTAAACCAGTACTTTCTAATCTTTGTGGCTAGGGAAACAATTTAATGTGTTCCTCAGTGAGGTCTCCTACTCTGCGAAAATGGTAACTGGAATTTGGAATTTTGTTTACAAGTTAAAACTTAAGTGCAGTATTGTTTAGAGGGCTTCTGTTTTGCTCTTTAGTAAAATGTTGCACACATCTTGTGAGAGCAGCAGTAGGAGGAGGCCCTGAGCCAAAGGACAGCCTGTGTGACCTTTGATGCCTTATTTTGGTGGGGACTATTGTTTAGAGGGCTTCTGTTTTGCTCTTTAGTAAAATGTTGCACACATCTTGTGAGAGCAACAGTAGGAGGAGGCCCTGAGCCAAAGGACAGCCTGTGTGACCTTTGATGCCTTATTTTGGTGGGGATCACCATTTTTGGTTACACAGAGTATCAGTAAACGCATTCGCTTTCTGGGGTCCTTTATCAGTGACATGATTTCCAACTGAATAATTAAGTGACTTCACAGTTGCCTTGAAAGCGAGGTCTCTGGTGCATATTACAATCTGAGCCTTCTGAATATTGTATTTGCCATTCCTTTCTGAGCACTTGATCTTGAAATCTAGACAGTTCCACGGTCAGGTTCACCTTGGTGCACAGTATGTGAGTAAGTGTGACAGGAGGAAGCAGAGGGAGATTGGTTTACTGGTAAGGTGTGGTCCTGCTGGCCTCAGGCCTGGGAACTGCGCAGCACCTTGGTGGGGATGAGCCTGAAGGCTGAGCACCCAGTGGGCCTTGTGCACAGGCATTACTGGTGGGTTTCACTGGGGGAAGGTCTTCTCAGCATGTGCAGAGGTCATATTTTATGAGATCTGAACTTTCCAAATCTAAACAGAAACCTGTGTGCCATAATACAGACATATTCTTAAAATTGTGGTTTCGTTCTTTGGAAATTGTGATTACAAATAAATTACATTATTCTCTTAGGGACTCAGTTTGCACAAAAGTGTAAACTTTATAGAGAAGAATGGGTTTAAATTTCTGGTGGCATTTTAATGAAACAGTAACGTAGTTTAGCAGGATTGTTTAATCTCGTGTGTTAACATATGTACCTGTAACTCTAAAGTGGTATGTTACTAGTTAAGATGTACCTGCAGTCATTATTTAGTGTCGCTTGGAAGTGTCTAGTTATTTTGATTGAAAAGCAAAGAATGATCTTTCAAATAAAACTGTTAATAGAGTATTTATTAGGTACTCTAACTTCCAAGTGGAATTACCTCTAAGGAAAACTGCTCAGGAAACATATATAGGCTATCAGTCTGTGAATTGTTGAGGTTTTGGATTCACCACTCCATGATGTTTGAAGCCTCTGGTATATTGATTTCTGTCATGCAGAAAGCCATCCTCTTCTCATTTTCCAAATCTTGCTGGTATCTAATGACAATTAGATAGAATTATATAGAATTCTTGAAACTTAAGGAAGAGCAGCTGATTCAGCCCAGATTTTGAGACTTATTGGGAAATCTTTGAGGAAATTTGGGAAGTATAGGTAATAAAGTTTTTAAGTTTTAAAAGAAGATTATTTCTGGTGTTTATTTTCTTATTGCCACAGTGGTTGCATGGGACAAGAGTCACGTCAGCTCTCATTTTAGGGTCTTGTCTTTAATTGCCCTTTGGTTATGTTTATAGTTTGATTGGTTTCCTGTATGGAAACCTTAATTAAAAGTTGGAAATATCCTACTTTGCATGTGTATATCTTTAAGCTATTTTTTAAAATGTAAATTTGATACTATTTGAAGCAGAGCAGATGAAACACTTTAAAATTTCCACAAGTAAATAGCAACAAATATGAACAACCAACTGAGTGAATTTGTTGTCTTTCATTTTTGTTATACGTATAAAAATGCTTTTTCATGTGTTGAATATTTTATTCACATCTTATGTGTAACAGCTGGTGGTAGACTTGGACTCAGCTGATGTTTGAAATCCCAGCCTGTTGGCATTGGACAGACTACAGTGGTCCTTTGCTTTGGCTCCTGCGTGATCTGTAGACCAGGAGGGCGGCCTAGGCTTGCTGCTAGTGTAGACACTCATCCTGGAAGTGGACTGGAGTGTAGATTTCCCAATTCCCAGTCCAAGACATCTTTCTCTTACTGAACAAAATTAATCTTTCTAGCCTTCTGGTTAGTTTCCTTGTTTGGGGTTTTTCTTATCATGGATGCGACTGTGCTTTCTCGGAGTTCTCCTTCAGGGATGTGAATGCTATAGCTGTTGGTGTGGAGATGCCTATCCCTAGGTGGGAATGGGGTGATGCTACCATGTTTAATAAATAAGGCTTAATTGACAGAGCTAAATATCTCAAAATACATTTTAACCTTAATGGTTTCCCTGGGTAGAATATTCATGTAACATGGGAACACTTTCTTTAAATAACAGATTTAAGAGACAGGTCTTTTGGATAAGATCTAACTTGTAGAGAAATAGTGGAATTGCATGACAAAAATTAGGTTAACATCATTTAGATTTTATAAATAGCTATTTGAAATGTGTATTGATATTTACTACATGGCATGAGATAGGACAGTTGAAACCATTAAACATTAACAAGATAGACTTACTTTTCCTCTCCTAAAATTTCTTCCATGGACAGTTGAGTTTTAATGAGGACAACAATATCTATGTTAAATCTAGATTTTAAATAAATAAAATTGGAGTTGAAGAAATTGTTCTCACTTTGAGATACCACTATGTGAGAGCTACCTGGAAAAGTTTACAGTGTGCAGTGTATTGCTCTTCAAGCAAAATGCTCAAATGCATATAAATTAAAGAACTCAGAATACTGCAGAGTTGACAGGTAGCTCCTCTCCTTGCGTCCACCCTGGCTCTTGTCAATGAGCCAAATGCCCTTAGACATCTCCTGTTTGTGCTGACATCATTGATGCTGGATAAACAGGTGAGCAAACAGGACTGTTAATTCCAAACTATATTAAATATGGCGAAACAATTGAATGCTTTTCTTGGTAAAAAGGCAAAAAGTATTTTTTGAAATTAAAAAAGTAAAAGGATCTTGTTGGAAGAGACCAAAAACAATGTAACCTTGTAGTCTCATTGTCCCAACCCCTATGACTTAACATCTTTTAGTCCTTTTCTGCGTTTAAGTTTTATTCTTAGATTCTTAGAATGTTATGGAATGACAGGATATTGAGGTTACCTTAAATTTGTGTGAAAAGCTTACACAAATACTCTCTGACTAATATAAATGGATGAGAGGAAAACACACTTTCCTTCAATCTAAAAATCACACGTTTTGACAGTGTGAACTATGTATGGTAGTCTTTTGAAGGCTTTATTTGAATTTAAGATCTACCAGAAAACTTTTTTCTCTTTGGCAAATAGAATAGATACTAGTTAGTATAAGTAAAGGTCATACTTCGCAGTTTAATTTTAAACAATCTGTATAGGGATTCGGTTTTTGGTCAGTTTTTTTATTGGTTGGTAGGTAATTGTGGCAAAATTGTTTTCAGATTAAAGGTTTGCAAAATGTGTTGATTATGTAATAGGGAACTTTGCATATTTGTTATTCTTAGGAAAGAATTAAAAATTCAAAGAGAAATTTGAATTGAATCATATAGTTTTGATTCAATTTGATTCAACCAAATTCTGTCCTTGGATTCTGCCTCTTTGGAGAATATGTAGAACTTATTTTTCTAAGGTGATTCCTAACATTACTGAGACGATGATTTCTCTGACCTCCAAAATCACAGAGTCATGGGTTGGAAAACTGTTAGGAATTTTGAGAGGGCATATGTTCTGCCCCCCATCCCTTTCCCCTAATCATTTCTGAGCAAAACCCTCTAGCCAGGTTTCTCTTCTCACTGGACCACAGTTAGCATCAGGCTTTCTTGTGGGTGCTTGTTTTGAAATATCTCAATTTTATTTTGGTCTTTAATTTCCATTCTCATTATCAGTAGCCCAGCTGAAGCTCTTAAGCCCTCAGACCTACATGAATGCCTTTCCACTTGAAGTTTTAAATACCTCTGCCAGATCAGTTCTACCCAC